TTCCTAGGGGACCATGGGCACAAGGGGCCAAGAGCCATGGTAAGAGCTGGCTGGAGGTCGGTGAGGTCAGGGGGCACAGGGTGGAACACAGGAAACTGTCCCGGTCACACGGGGCCTCGACCAAACAACAGAGTATGGAGGTCCTGCCCCCTCTCCTGGAAAGTTGGGAGACACAGAGGAGGCCCAAGACTGTGACAGATGCCAGGGCCTGGCAAGACCCTGGGGGAGTGGCCGACAGAGGCAGAATGACAACCCAGGGAGAGCTGGCAAGGGCTCTAACCGCCCAGCACATTTCTAGGGGAGCGGGGTGCCAGGGGAACTGGTTTGCTGACATACTGGGAGAGGGAGCAGCAGAAGGCGAGCGTAGGGGAGACCCCCGTGCAGAGCCGCAGGCAGGGGTACAGGTGCTGGACAGGAGTGAAGCCAGGTCACCAGGCCTCGTGATTCAGGAGGGCACTCTGCCCAGCTGGCTTCAGGCGTTACCTGGCAAAGGCTTCCCAACAGTCTCTGCCTTTACTGTCTGTTCAGGAACGCTGACCTCAAAGTCAAATGTCACAATGCCCCCCCTCCCAACATCCCACCCAACCAGGCCCCAAACTTCACCAAGCAGTGGGGATAGGGGCCGGTGCCTCCCTGCATTCTGCATCCTCCTTCCTCTCTCCAGCCTGAGTGGGGGCAGGGGACAAACCAGAGGCTGGAGGCCGTCCTGTATGGGGTAGTTGCAGAAGACCCCAGCCAATAGCCAGGAGACATGAGGCAGCACCGATGTCACCCCTTACTGAAGGCGCGCTCTCCGGGAACAGCCAGCACTCGTCCCCAGGCTATGCCCCACAAGAGAACCGATAGGTTCGAGATGGGCCCTCACACCCCTGCTCGTGGCCAGTTTTCTGTTGTAAAAGCAACAGATTCCAGGGTTCCAAAAGGCCAGACTACTGCAGAAAATGCATGTGCTCAAACCACCCAGGGAACAGTCCCAGAGAATTAGCCAGAAGTCAATTCAGAAATGAGTCACCACGTCAGCCAGAAGAGAACAAGAAATCATCCCCGGATTATTTGCTGAGCCCCTTGCACAAGCCCAGCAGTGCCCTTCAGCTCTGGAGAACGAGGGGGACCCCGATAGGGGGGAGCTTCCTTCCACACCCCACATCGGGCATAGAGATGCCAGAGGGCACGGGACGTCCCAGGCAGAAGGGAGCGTCGCTGACCTCTCAGCTCCACCTACTGAGCAGACCAAAGTGGAGTCCTCCAAAGCCAGGCTAGTGTAGCCCCAGGCAGCCCACCACATCACGTCAACTATGTCCTTTCTCCAGATGGAAAAGAGGAGAAACTGAGAGGGGCACCAGGTCCCCGGGGCGGGATCTGTGGCAGGCTGGGACTGGCCACGGGGCTCCACCAGGACGCTGTCCTGCCCAGCAAAACTGCGTCTCGTCAATACGTGCTGTTATCATCTGCTGGGGCCCCTGCAGGCCCTCCCACAGCAAATGCTGCTGGACGTCCAAAGAAATATTATCAGGAATTCATTTTATTTGTATCTTGTCAAAATTCAGAGGCCTTACAAGTGACTCTGTGTATTTGAATAAAAAATGAAAAAAAAACTTTGAAAGCTAAAAACCTGAAATGGGTCTTTGATCCAAGAATGGTTTCATCTATATTTATATAAATGCGACCGTCTGCAAAAGGCCCAGCCGAGGCAGAGCTGAGTGTGCTCTTGTCAGTAAACACTGTTCATTTTATATCGTCTGGAAAGAGAAATCACTTCACATGTAAAACTCTTCAGAACACCTTGCTTCCTCCTAAACATCCATATGCAATTTTTTTAAGATACATGGATATGTAATGTTTGGAAGAAGAAACCCCCAAATCTTTTCTGGAGAACATGATTAATGGTGACTTTGTTCCATATATGTGTGTTCAAATTTTTCGGCAAGGAACCTGTATCATTTTATAAGCAGAAATACTAGTTTTTTAAAGACTGAAATAGGATCTCCTCTTTTTTAAAAGGATATATAATGTGTCAGTCGTTTCTGTTGTTATAACTCCAATCAGATATTCTGAACCCAAATATTTCATTTATACAGAAAGGTAATCCACTGTGTAAAAACATTAGCTACTATTATCAAAGTTAAACAAGCCAAAGATAGTGACTTGAGTTAGAAAGACGACATGGGCACACCAGGCTCAGACGCAGCTCAAATCCCAGCTCCAGCACACACCAGCTGTGCAACCTCAGGCAAGTTTCATAACCTCTCTGATCCACATTTCCTGGATCTATAAAATGCCAGCTCTGAGGAATGCAGGACTGCCAGGGGCAGAAGCCATGTGCCTGAAGGCACACAAAGCCAAACACACACACACACACACACACAAATAAAATCACACCCTCACTTTTATTCTAAATGTTCCAAATGTGGCAAATAGTGGTTGATAAAAAAATTAATCTGCCATTCAAATTCCTTTCATTTGAAAACAGAGGCAAATAAATTTTCAAAGTAAAACACAAGACTTGAAAGCAATGTGGATATGGCCACATCCCCCTTTCCCCTGGGCCTCCAGGGGAAGTAAACACCTAGAGGGACATGTGACAGGTCCTCACTGAGTGCCTAGAACTGGCTGGCGGGACTCGGTCCTTAAGTCGTAGCTACTATCATTCCCTCTAGGAAGGCGTGTATCATTAAGTAAGAAAAAGGTGCTGTCTTCCTGTCTTACAACCAACACACGGCGACTGGCAGGCTTTTTAACTGTAGTGTATTGCTAAGTGCACCTTGTATTCTCTGGGGATGTTAGCATAAGCTAAGCAATCGATATGGCTTATCAGATCAAAAAAATATATAAGGAAGATAAGAAGCCAGCAAAGCAAACGCACAACCTAAACTTTCATGGAAGTAATTACCACCCTATAGGCAACACCCACACACACCACATGTGCATCGATTTCCCCTTTCAATGCTTGGGAGCCAAATCAAAATGGGGAGGCTCTGGGCTGTTTGATTCCGAGGCAGCGGGAAGGAAAATATACAGGAAAGAACAGAAGCTGGAGACTTGGCCACGCTCCTCATAATCGGAATTCAAAGAGCACAGGTTCTTTTTATTATCAGAAACTGGAATCTTGACACGACACTCCCACTGGGAACCTGGTCAGGACCCGCCAGCATTCGACTACTCCCCAGACAAGGGGGTACGTGCCTGGAACCTGAACGGAGGCTGCCAGGAATCACCCCACCGGCCAGCTTCGATTCACAGGTCAACCAGCTGCACACACCATCCACTTAATTAATCTGCTCTTGAATTATTTGTTATCTTCCCCTGAGGGAGAGGAAATTCTTCTTGCTGGTTACCTGCTCTGCTCCTGGGGCTGACAGTTTGATGGAGCTCTTGGCTACCCGCCACCCTCTGGCCAAGACAAGAACATAAAGAAACAGCGGCTGAAGTACTGTCGAAAAGGGGAGTTGTTAGCCTTCTGGAATCTGAATAACTCCCCAGATCCCGGGAAACACAGAAAGCTCCACTGAAACACACGGGCAGGTACGTGTGGCACTAATTGGGTGTGATCTGTTCTGCACCCCTATTTATTCTAAATTAGGTAGAGTTTCATTCTCCCTTAACAACGTCAACAACCCCTAAGCTCCTTTCTGCAGAAAGAATTAGACCCAGAATCCGGGGACAGAGGAGAGATCACAAAATCCTATCACTTTCACCGCCCGATTTTTTGATCAGCCCCGAAATTCCTGTGTCTGAATTTCTTCTCCAACGCTCCCCCACCTTCCTAAACCAACTGATTCACAGACTTGCACAATCTAGACGCAAGAGGAAGCCTGGGGACCACCTAGGTCAACTCTCGCTTTGGGGATGTGAAAGGAAGTGTTAACCTGTTCCTTCTCCTCACTCCTGGGAAGCCCTGTAACAGGACCTGCTCTAGCTTAGTTCGTTCTTGAGATAAATCCTCTCACTCCAGAAATCGCCCCTAGGAAACACCAGCATCCCACCCAGCCTGCAGCTCTTCCCGTGGGGCAAGTGCCCCTGCACACGAGCTGTGGAAGGCTGGTCAGAGACAGAGACTAGCCTCCAGGAACCCCTGCCAGTGTCCCTGTCCGCCCCCAGACTCGCGGGTCAGTGAGGTTGCAATCTGCGGGCTCAGTCTGGAACTCCAGACCTCCGCTGTTCTACCCACCAGCTCCCCGCTGGCTAGGGCAAGGGGGCCTCAGAGAAGAGGCCCCTGGGAGCACTGGGCTTGCCAAGTGTGGCACCGATCTGTACTGCGGCCGACTCCTCCCCTTATGCGGAAGTGCTGCACGTCCTAGACCCCCACTGCACCTGCAGAACCCGGGCCCACCTCCACTGCTCCCAGCCGGGCGCAGCCCGGGAAGGACAGCGGGACGCTGGAGCGGGGAGTCTGCCACCTGCGGGGGGCCTTGCAGCGACTTGGTGGCTGGGCCCCGGGACAGCGGAGGAGGGGGAAACTCGTGGCCCGCCGGGGCCCGTCCGCCACGGGACAGGCGATCCCCGCTGCTGGTCCCGTCTCCTCCAGGCCCCGCTCGCTGCGCGCCCTCTCCAACGGCGCTCCCGTGGTGTCTCCGTTTTGTCTCCAAACGTGTCTAAACGCAACCCACCACAGACGCTGACATTTTCAATGTTTAGTTGTTACAGCTACTTGACTAATTGCCGGGATGGCAGCGGCGCCGCTCCTTCGCTCCCGGCGGGTAGGGAGGAGCAGGGTAGGCGGGGGCGCCGCCGCGGGCCCAGCACTGGGGCCTCGCCGGGGAACCAGCGCTCCCTCCGCCCCCCACCAGCAGCCGGGCACCGAGGGCGCGCGCGCCGCGGACTCGGGATGCCCCTAACTGTCCCCCTGACCCGGGACCCGGCCGGCCGAGGGTCCAGCGCGTAGGTGCGCGGCGGCTGGCGCCGTCCGCCCCTCGCTCCACCGTCAGGTGTACTTCAGAGAAAGCGGGGAAGGAAGGGAGGAACGGGACTAAAAAAAAGAGAAGCCGCTGCCGGTTACTCACATGCCAGATGGCGAAGAAGATGAGCGCGGCGCACAGCACCAGGGACAGCATGTAGCAGAAAGCAGCGAAAGTGAAGGCCATGGCCAGCGGCGGGGCCGAGCGCACCCCAGTCCCGCCGCACACCAAGAAGGTCCTCGGAGGCCAGCGCCACTCCAGGACCGCCCTCCCTCCTAGAGGGGCAGGCTAGGTCCACACCCTTGCGTCGAGGCCGGAGGCTGGGAGGAGGCAGGCCAGCAAGGGGAGCCTCGAGGGTCAGGGGCGGCGGTCAGCGCCGGGATCCCGAAGCTGCGGCCGGGGGGACGCCAGCCCGCCCGCCCGGGAACTCACGGCCGGGTGCTCCGGCGTCGCGGGAACAGTCCCCAAATCGAGGAAACCAGTCAGTAGAGAACTCGTGCAGACCAGTGCAGCCAGAGAGCCTCCGAAGCAAACCCGGCGAGGGCCGCGCGACCAGCTCCTGCGCCCGAAGAGCCTCGGCTTCCCGCGCCCGAGTCCGAGGAGAGGCGGGAGCGCCACCCGGGACCCTCCCGCGCCGCCCCGCGAGCTCCTCCCAGATCCCAGAGCCGCGGGCGCTCCCTCCCGCGAGCTCAGGTCTTGCGGGGGTCACAGGCGCGGGAGCCCCGCGCGGCGACCCGACCTTCCCGGCAACCAGGCTGGACCGGGCGCGCAGGGCTCCGGGCCCCGCGGGCCTGCCTGCTCCCCGGCGGCCGCAGAGGCGGGTTTCAGACCGGGAGCTGCGCCCGCCTCGGAGCTCGCTCCACCTGCTGCTGTCACCGCCGCCGCCGCCTGTGCCTCGGCCCCGGGCTCCCGCTCCTGCGAGCGCCGCCCACCCCCACCCTCGCCCGCGGATCTTCGGCGGGGGCGCCCGCGCTGTGCGCGCCCGCCTCTTCCAGGACACCTGCGGCAGGCGGCGCGGGCGGGGACTCGGAACACGTGCGTCTGAAGAGGTGGGAGCTGCGGGAGGGGACCGTGCGTACTCGCGCCCCGCCGCGGCCGCGGCCGCCGGTGCTCGCAGCGTCGCCCGAGTGGGCCGGCCCTGTGTGGCTGGGGACGCGGGACTAGCCCTTGGGCCCCAGCACTGCTCCTGTAGTGCCCTTCACGTGGGGCCGTGTTGGCCGCGCTGCGCCAGCCCCTGCAAAGTCCCCCAGGGGCGGCTTTCCCTTGGAGCGCCCCCTCACCCTGCTATCTGACTTGGGGTTGGCAGACCCAGACCCTGTCTGGGCTGAAAGGCAGCCACGTTGACTATTATTGGTATAGGTCCAGTGGAACTGTCCAGAGCATACGCTTTTGGAGTCGGACCCCTTCGTGAAAGTTTCTTAACCTCTTTTTTTTTTTTAAGATTTTTTTATTCCTTTATTTGACACACAGAGAGAGATCACAAGTAGGCCGAGAGGCAGTCAGAGAGAGGGGGGGGGAAGCAGGCTCCCTGCTGAGCAGAGAGCCCAACACAGGACCCTGAGATCATGACCTGAGCTGAAGGCAGAGGCTTAACCCACTGAGTCACCCAGGCGCCCCTTTTAACCTCTTTAAACCTCGGTTTTCTTATCTGAAAAAAAAGTGGCTACTCCTACTCCAATCTATGTCAAGGGGTTAAATGGAAACATGAGGAAAGAACCTGGGTGGGGGTGCTGGGCCTGTAGTTCGGTATGCGGTAGGGTTATAGTCTGCACACTTTGCCCCAGTGGCCCAGAATCTTGGAAATGTGCCATGTTTCCTTTGTAAGCGATTTCCAGTCATTTCAGCACATGGTGAGAGTGGGTCTCAGAGCACCTGCTGTCTTGCAGAGTGCATGCTAAATAAATAGTTGTTGATCAATTCTGAGCCCGGTGTGTTAATCGCCATGCACAGTTATGACTCCAGTGGCTCTGGGGATGGACGGAAGGACTTAGAGCTAGTCCTAGACTGGCCAGGACAGAGCTCGGATGAGACCTGCATGCTTTCCTCCATACCTCCGTGTTCTTGCAGCTGTGTGGGCACACCTCCAACTCGGAAACTAGATACCTTTCAGTGGGAAGTACAGAAAACAGACCAGCCCAGTGGCTGTTGACAGAGGGTCCACCGATCAGCATTCAACTGCCTCTGGGTGAGAGCTGGCTATGCAGGACTGGGGAGGCCAAGTACAAAATGGAAATGTAGAGTTCCCTGTTCAAAATTCTTAAGAATCTCAAGATAGAAGCAGCAAAGAAATTCATCCAAGTATGACGCCCTTCTGGCCACAGGACCTTGGGCAACTGAGGATGTTTTGCACCTGTGAATCCAGCCCCACTCTGGGTTACACTCTTTATCACTTTGTCTTTTACTTATACGTCTTCTAGTAAAAATTCTCGTTCAAGAAAATTTGGAAAATACGGAAATGAAAAAGGATAAAACGGACACCAGAGTTGGCCACTCTCAGACACCATCGACACCATGGGGCTGTGCTGCCTTCTAGCTCTGTTTGCTTTTCATTGTATATCAACCATTCCTTTATATCAGTCACTAAGGTTGTAATTATACCATACAAATTATGTATGCCACCAAAACAGTAAGAAAATATCACAGGGAGATGTGATCGTTGCAGTATTTTGAGTTCCTTCAGGTTTGATCTATTGTCTTTTGCTTCTGCTGGCTCGTTCTTGTGGAGTCCTCGCTCCTCTGACATCCACAAGGTTTTTATTGCGTGTCAAACAGGTTTGGTTTTTTGTATTTTTTGTTTTTGTTTTTGTTTTTTTAAGTTCTTTGCAGAAATTCGAGGACTAAGATGATGTCCTCTTTCCCCAAGGAGGATTTTCTACATCTTTTGCCAGGTGAGTGGGGGACATGAACATTCTAGAATTTTCTTGCTCCAAATGCAGGGTTTGAGATTTTCTAGGGTAACCAGAAGACCATCGTCTGTTTCAGGGCTGGTTTTCTCAATTCACCCTTATTCACGAGAAGTGGTCCTTTTAGATATCCGGGCAAAACAGGTTGTTATCAAGCCCCAAGCCCTCCTAGTCCTTGGAACTTGGCTTTTGCCCCAAAGCCCTACAAAGCACTAAAATCGTAATTAAGACTCCTACCCTTCCTCCAGATTAGCAAATGCTAATCTTTTGCCGAGGGGCAAAACTGTCTCCCAGTGCTAGGTCAATGGCTCTTGATCTCGCCCACTCTCAGAATTTGGCCGCAGTAATTCCTTACTCTCTGGATAAGTCTTTGGTGCTTTTCAGAAGATGTTTTTAGACTTTATTCGGCTTTTTAAATTGTTTTTAGTGGGAGGATTGGTCTGAATGATCTAGCCCAGCATTACTGGAATCAGGAGTGTCTACATCAAAATAAAATATCAAGCAAACAAAAATCGAATCCATTATCCTACCACTCTGACTTTCAAAGTTCCATACATACTTTAGCCTCTGTTTTTCTTGAGCTTTCCCCAGCCCTACTTTATCTTGTGTCTTCAATTGCAGAATTATCTGGGGTAGTAGAATCTCAGAAAATAAGAACCGCTCGCAGTTACAGTTTATTAATTCAACAAATGTTATTTAGTGGTGGTGAGAACTGTCAGGGACTTGAAAGATTCCCAGCCTCATTGGTGAGTTTATAAATAACTCCTTCACAAGGGAGGGCTGGAAGAGGGAGGAGGAGAACTGCCCGTGACACAGTAGAGGAAGGCAGGAGAAAAAGTAATGAGGAAAGGATGTTGAGAGACCAACCTACATTGTTTCACCAACTGTAGACATTGAAAAGGCAATTGCTTTATTATTATTTTTTTTTTCCTAGCCACCATGCAGCCACAAGCAGCCATTTGACACTGTTTGAGCTCAGGAGATATACACTTTTCTTTGCCTGGAATGCAGATATGATATAGGGAGGTACAGAAGCCATATTGTGACAATGAGGAAGAAATCAACACATTAAGAACGGAAAAGATAAAAAGATGGAGGAAGTACCATTGACAACATGACAAAGCCACCAAACCAGCCCTGAATTTCCTATTCTCTGGCTTCTTACAATGTGAGACAATAAAACTTCTGACTTTTTTTAAGGCACAAGAGTAAGGAATTCTCTTACAGGTAAACACAATTCTTTTTTTTTTTTTAAGATTTTATATATTTATATGACAGAGAGATCACAAGTAGGCAGAGAGGCAGGCAGAGAGAGGGGGGGAAGCAGGCTCCCCGCTGATCAGAGAGCCCAATGTGGGGCTCGATCCCTGGACCCTGAGATCATGACCTGAGCCGAAGGCAGAGGCTTAACCCACTGAGCCACCCAGGTGCCCCATCACAATTCTTAACTGATACCATGGTTTAATGTTGGGGGGTGGATGTTTTCCTGATGCAAGAGGAAATCAGATAATCAGTTCAGGGCTGGTATAGCAGCTCCTTGACACCATTACTGTCCCCAACTCCTTTTACCTTCCTGACTTACTATGCTTAGCACGTGGATTTGGTTCTCATGGTCACAAAAAGGTTGCTGCATCTCCATCCATGTTGCGGGCAGGACAAAAGAAAAGAGCCAAAAGATTTCAGCCCACGAAGGCATGTTTTTTCGGAAAGTAATGGAAATCCTCCTGAGGGATCTCTTCCATTTGATTGGCCAGAATTCAGACACTCAGCTGCCATCCCTTATTGCAAGTGAGTCTGAGATGAGTCTTTTCTCATTCTGGCCTTTATCAAATAGTAAGGAAAAGAAAAAAAGGTTTTGGGTGGGCTTTTTGGATGTTCACATTTCTTCCCTACCCATTAGTGGGATTTTCTCTCATAAAACTTTCCAGTGTAGGGGCACCTGGGTGGCTCAGTCAGTCTGACTCTTGATTTCGGCTCAGGTCATGATCTCAGGGTCCTTGGATGAACCCTCAGTTCCGTGTTCAGCAGGGAGTCTGCTTCTCCCTCTCCCTTTGCCCCTCCCCAACTTGTGTGCACACTCTCTAAATGAATAAAATATTTAAAAAATTTTTCAAATGTGTAGAGAGGTAGAAAAAGGGGTAGAGTGAACATTCTCCTCCATATCACCCACATTCCACAACCATCAATATTTTGCCACACGTGCTTCCTGGTTGTCCCAAATTGTATTTTATATCTTGTTTGTTCCACATAGAATGTAAAGATTTTCCCTCGAGGCATCTCTCACCCTTAGGATTTTTTAACCATTTTCTTTCGTGTAATTTATCCAACACTAATTTTTCTAAGCTGAACGTCTGCCATTGAGAGCTCCATGCTGAGCACAGTGACCGTATTCAGGAAGCCCCTGTCTGTTGCTGTGCGTGCCTCCATCTCTGCGAGCTGGCTTGTCTGACTCTGGACCATGTCCACTTGGGTGGCACACGTGCACTTGGTGGACGAGCTAACTTGAGA